GTTAAAAAAGTCCATAAAACAATATCAATTTGGAGCAGTTCAAACACAGGCTTCCAAACATCAGTACTGGAAACAAGTGCTATAGAGGTAAACCTGACTGTTGTTTGAGAGGGTTTTTACAAGCTATATTTGCTGCCTAATTCATTTATGTTTTTATTGCATAATGAAATATGTTGAAATCAGAGATAAAATGAAGGAACTTGAATGATGCCTTTTAGAAATAATTGCACCGACCAGGAAAAGTAGGCAGGGTTTTTGTTTTTTAAAAAGTTGAAAAATCGGTCACATGGTTATTTCCCTACATCGAGAAGCTAATACGACTGAAAATAAGCATAGAAAAAAAGAAAGACAGTATAAATAAAACAAAACAGAGCTAAATGATCGCCCATATTCGCAGAACTCAGGCATCGTGAAATCCCTTTATCCCTAAAACGTATGAAAGCTATAAATGGTATACCAAAAATCAGATATATCAGGACTATGAAAAAAAAATGAAGATGACGAATAGTAGTCAAGATAAAAAGTTCATAACCCAATACAAAATACGAGCAGAACAAACACGGACCTCCAAAACATCAGAGGTGAGATCAAATGCCATGGAAAAGTAAGCATCACCTGCCGACCGGTCACACCCGCCGTGTGCTCCTTGTCATGATCGGGAAATATCGTGTTTATTGTGCATCCCTAAAGATGAGTGTTCTGAAGCTTTTCTGGAGACGAGTACAAACATTTAAGACATCTGTAAAGGTCAATGGGGAACACTATGCAGTACATGCTTTACTTAGTTTAGATGACCATTTGCATTACTTATTGCACATCCCTCGTATTAGAAGAAGGTGGTTGATTGATTAGTTATAATTTTATAACGCCGAGTCGGCAATATTTCAGCCATATTTTGGTGATATTACAAGAAGAAGGTCTCATATTGATTCTATTTTTAGTTATGACGTGACTAGCTGCTTTGCAATTAGACATTCAGTTCTCCTCAAAATAAGAAAAAAAGACTTTTTTGGAATGCAAATTGCTATTTATATAATTTTCAGTTAGAATTCCAAAGGACTTTATTCGGTAATAACCAATATTTGCCCCCCCCCCCCCCTCAACCTTTGACGGAGTATCTTGTGCAGAAAATATGGAAGAGATATTGAAAAAAGAAAGTTTTTTTAGTACTATTTTTAGTACAGGAGGGCTTTTTTAGACGTTCTTATTAATACCTGAAATTTACTGAACTTGTGTATTCAAATCAAAGAGGAGCATACATGTATTCTTTATGAACTGAACAATAAAATATGTAAGAATTTAATTTTTTTTTCTCAGTATTTTCCTTTGCATTAATGTAGAGCTACTTTCAATGCATTATAATTACTTGTTGATGGTAATCTTATGAGATATTGTGATATGTATGTATTAATTTAGCACATATGATACTGAAGGGCTTTTATTAGTACAGTACCCGCATCGCTATTCTTTACAGGGTACACGATACGATAGGATACACGCACATAGGACAGGATACACGCACGATAGGATAAACGCAAAACATTTTAAACGCAAAACATGACACATGCAAAACACAATAGACCTGATAAACTATCTTCAATATAGGATAAACGCAAATCCTGATAGGATTGTTTCAAAATGCGGAACGTATTGTACAAGATGAAATGATTATTTTGTTCAGTTACTGCCATATTTTAATGTAAATACTTGCAAAGCTTCAAATCTAAATTATAAAGTACATTTAATTATTATAATAAAAAAAATTGAGATCACGGTAATCGTACAAAAGTTGTTTATTTATATTTTTTTAACAGTGATTAAATGGATTATTATGAAATGGAGACTGTAATTTTTTTCTTAATTTCTACTCAAGGGTGTGAATTTACGATAATTTGTGTAAATGGTGAAATTCTCATCTTAAGGTTGAACTGTGACTCCTTTAATTATGGATATTGTAACATACATGTAATTGTTAAACAAAAATTCCTTACATAATTATATGCCATTTCTCACTGGTACTATTATAAATTTATGAAACACTATAAATAGTAGGGATGTCAACGAATATTGGAGTACTCGACTATCGTTCGATCATAAAATTTCTTTAGTCGGTTATTCGTTAAAAATGCGTTTCTTCAAAGTAATTTTGAATTCTAGGCAATAAACTTATGTTTGCCCATATCATTTATTTACAGATCAATATTTTCATATGTAAAATTAAGGTAATGGTATAACTATCCAAAGGAAATTATTTGTACTACTATGTATGTTCGGAAAACGTGTCTTCAGAATCTACAGATTTGGTATTAATAGCTCAAAAAAGTTTAACAACTTGCTATCAAGGTTATGTTTCAACAGAACTTGTATTTTGCAGTGTAACATCAAACATGATATATGCCGAATCAGTTAAACATATTTTACACATTCTTCCAGTAAAACTTTCCTAAAGTAAGTTCTCCGCAAAAATGACAAAAAAAGCAGATTGGGAAGAAAATCAAACATGTTTATTAATGATTGTGTACCTTTTACTGTTTGAAATGGAGAGGACAATTGTTTAGTTTTGTAGATTCTAGCTAAGATCAGACGTGATACAACTCTTCAGATAGAATATTAATTAAACAGCTATTACAACATTGTAAATACATGTAAACTGGGTCAGTTATGATAATAATTAGACCGTGTTTTCTTTTTCTGATATTAATCTCATATCATTGATTGTTTGCACAAAACTTCATAATTAAAATTTATCCCAAGCTCTCGTCTCTCTTTATTTTTATAAGAGACACGCTTGAATTGTTTACCTGTCAAATATAATTCACGGACACGTAGAAATTGGCTTCAATTATGGCGTACATGTAATATCGTTATGTAAAGAAAGGAAAAATACGAGCGTTTGATATCCCGCATTTAGATAAAATGTGCAGCTAATATATCAATTTTGAAATTAAATACATTGGATGCATATTGACGTACAGTTTTTATTGTACTACGTACATGTTTAGAATTCAGAAATTCGTTGTATAATGGTGAAAGCGTAGGTTAAATATTGTAAACTAGTCTGTAAAAGACAAATAGTAAAGATGATATGAAAAAATAAACATTCAAACGAATATTCGACTATCGTTCGACTAAAGCATCCGACTATTCGACTAAGCTCTCCGAGTAAAAATGACATCCCTAATAAATAGATTTATTACTTATGAAAAACTATACATTTGTACCTAATAAATTTATCTACAAGTACTAAGTTATTTCCCGAAGAAATTAACGCAATAGATTAAATATTTGTATTTAATGTCTGAAGCTTACAATCCGGTGCATTCAAAAATCGCAATTAAATATTAAAATCTTAGGGAAAAAATACATGTAGAAGACGGGCCGAAGGAAATGTCCAAAGAAATCGGCTTTAAAGAACTATATAGTTCAAGAAAATTTATTTCCTGAATAGAAGTCTAAATAATTGTTAATATAATGGCGCTCTGCATTAATGCATATAAACTGTGTCAACAGAATATGAATCTGCTACAACTGCACATGTACGTTTACGCTAAGCTCTTACTTATGTACATGTAAGCATTTATATATCAGATAATTAAAATCTCGTATTAATTAACGAACATTGAATGATAAAATACTTTTTTTCTTTACAATACAAAACAGAAAAATTAATAAACAAATATTAAAAGAGTGAAATGCGACTTTTCCGACTAAATAACTATAAATCATTGCTATTAAACTTTGTGTGTACTGTTTCTAATGCAAATGAATTATTAAACATTAAAAATTATTTTAGACTTACCCGGTAATCTCATATAAGGCATATTATAAAATTTTTGAGAAACTTCTACTTTATAGCAAGTGCCATGGTGTGATAAATCGGGTAGAGCATTTTCATGCATTACATTATATAATTTTGATTTTTTTTTAATTTAGACATATTAAGGAATTTAACTAATTAGATAGTGATGAAAATAATTTTAAAATATTGAGGCTATATCAATGTTAAAGTTATCTAGATCAATGTCTTAAATGCTTTGTTATTATTTTTTTTAAATCAAGATTTTAAATAACTGTGCATACATGCAGATCAGAGGCGAAAACACATTCCTAATATTACCAGACGATTGATCGGGAGAAATGAATATTGCATTTAAAAAGATACATATTTATCCCTTAAATTGCTAATTATTATTATAATTTTTCGGGGGGGGGGGGGGGGGAGCGGGATACGTATACACCGTGACTTACCGAAAATCATTCTGACTCTGACTAATTCAAGAAAATCGATGACTTAAGTACAGCTATTTATAAGAACCAGGCAGAAATGAAAATAAGTGATTCATGATAGTGATAGATTTTTCAAAAACTATCATATTTACATTAAGATACATCAAACTAAATACTTGATCACAGTTATAAATGGATTTCATGCATAGCTGATTAAAAAATGAATTTAATATATACTGAAACAGTCAACAATATCCATTGAAAGGTGTCTGTACGTGCAGGTGATTTTTTAAGAAGGCCCGCACTCTCATTGAATGTGAATTATAAAATATTGAACATCTAGTATCAAAGAGTAAAAAACAATTGAAAAACCCATGGGTTATTTTACTTACGAACAGATATTGTGATTTTAAATTATGTAAAAACATGAACTTCTAGTTATCTCCCTTGGCACTCTTTAGTAAAAGGAGTTGGAAAGAGTGTATTTAACTCTTCAGTTTAGAAGGGGAGGATTAAGAAATGTGTGTGATTTCATCTTCATTTTGGAAGTTTTGTGGGTTTTCATACGTCGAAGGGGCATGTAAGTCTAAAATTTTCATTAGAAAAATATAATCCTAGGATTAAAAAAAAAACTGCCTACAATTTGCTTTTTTTTATCTGACAAAAACAAATTTTTATTTCCTAAACATGCTAAGAGTTTGAGTGTTTTAAAAAAGGCAAACTTGTTTAACAATAACATCAAAACTACTTAAATTCAGTTAATTTTGGGGAAAACATTTAATTTTGTACTGGAATTTGAACAGTAGCTCGCTGCTGGGGATTAGAGTATGATGAGTATCTCTCCTTTCCGTCGATAATCCCTTAGTACTGCAATATACACAGTTGACTGGAAGAAATCCTCGACCTCAGCATACATGAAGCCATAGCAAGAAGCAGTGAAAGCCACAGCAGAGATTGGATAGAGCATAATTTTTTCTCTGTATCGGTGCCTCTATGGATGTCATATTTAGATCAGGTATTTGATACATAACACATACAAATGTCTAAACAAAGGCAATATTGACTATTTTTTTTCAAATTGAGAAAGGGGAAAGTCAGAAAAAATGATAGCAAACATACAGGCTGACTGCTAGTAAAAGTTATCAGTCCTGGTAAAAATCTACCAGCCTAGCTGAGAAAATAATTGTCTTTTGTAAAATTGATTTTTGAAACTAGAGGTACTGTGAGCAATGAGCAAATGATACCCCCCCCCCCCTATGAATATAATAGTGACCATATTTTGCTGTAGGAAAATATATTAATAATGCCATACTTTCGTACAATACCACTATTTTTTTGCCTAATTTTACTCTTAAATACACGAAATCTCAGGAGCTTCTGGGGCTTTGCCCCCTGGACCCCCTTCATTCAAACTATGGTATGACTAAACATATGACTGTACTTTGGAACATCACTATCAAGACCCCTTGTCTGAACAAAGTTATCCACGCCCCCCCCCTCCCCCTCCCTTTTAATCACAAATCCTGTACTGCTCATGATACCATTAGTTGATTCGGAAGCAATTAATCAAATTATTAAATTTTTTAATTAATGAAAACTTTAAACAAGTCCAGCTGGGCAGTGCAAATTGGTAAGCCCACAGCAAAATTTGTGCGTCTCGGGCGGTCAGGCGCACTGTTATCTCAAACACTGCTTTCGGTATGGCCAATGGGTCCTTCTTAAACTAGGGAATATTTAATTAAGCCCTGAAAAAACTCAGATGTTATGGCAAAACCATGATTACTATTTTTCTTATTCATTTACTCAAATTGTAAAATTGTGCCCTTTCAAACTGTATATTTCCAAACTTATATGTGTATGATATTCTTCAAATGCATTTCCTTTTATTTGAATTATATATAAGGGAGGGGAGTCCTACAAAATTGAATTGACAAGCAAAACAACCAATAAAATACTGTTATGGTTTTATCAGTTGAAACGGTGGGAGGGGGTGTAAAGCCATATAACCCTATCTGAATGGGGGAGGGGGGCCCAAATATTCCTACAAGCATTTATATACACACATAGAAAGAGAGAGATTTATGAATATGAGAGCACATACAATATGAATGGGTTTCTGCCAATGTTTTCATCTAATTTAGGTTTAAAACTTAAAAAATAAAATTTGATCCTACAAACTAGAACTCTTTTTCAATTTATAACTAATAGTATGAATTCATGATGATATCACTAGTACATGGGGGAGGGGGGGGGAGGTAAATAAATATTTATTATCAATAATTCAAAAGCTAAATTGTTATATAAATGTATGCATTCTCTTGTCATATGATGAATTTCATGATTTGTTATCATTTCAGATGCAGTCTGAGCCTTGTTCTGAATTTCAAAATTCCCTTTGACAACACCTGCACAGCTGAGGTAATGTAAACTTAAAAATTGAGGACAACCGTCACCAAGAAAAGATTATCAATTCAACTAACGTTAGTGTTATATATACTTTATATTATTTATGTATCATTAGATAATTCGGTATTTTGTGTTGACAAATTGCAGTTTTTTTAATATCATTAAGAACATTCCTTTTCGTTTAGCAATCAAGGGCCTTCTGACTAAGGGTTGAATTATAGTGAATACTACCATTCAGAGACTTTGAAACAGGTATATATTTCTTCTGATCTCTGAATTTTTTAGCTCACCTGAGTTGAAGGCTCAAGTGATCTTTTCTGATCAAAGTTTGTCTTCTGTCTGTCATTGTCATTCTTCAAGGGGAGAGAATTACAAAATTAATAGCATTACTGATATCTTCTCAAGAACCAATGGCCCAGGAAATATGAAACTTATGTGGAACCATTGTCGGGTAGTGTAGATTCAAATTTTTCAAATCATGAACCCCATGTGTAGGACGTGGCCACAACGGATGATCAGAGTTTAACATATGAATATATAAAAAAAATATTTTAAAATCTTCTTCTCGGATACAGCAAGCCTTGATTGGTAATATTTATATATATGAAAGCATTTTCAGGTGGTGTAGATTCAAGTTTGTACAAATCATGACCCAGGGGGGATAGGGTGGGACCACAAAGGCCAATCAAAGTTTAACTAAGAATATAGAGAAAAAATCCTTTAAAAATATTCTTCCAAAGAACAGAAAAGCCAGTAAGTTATATATACATATGGAAGCATTTTCTTGTAGTGTAGATTTGTTCAAATCATGACCCCCCCCCCCCGTATATACTCGCCTATAAGTCGGTTGTATTTAATAAAAGTGTTCATATAAAACCTTACTTTTGATAGGCCTATAAGAAAAACTTAACTCCCACAGTATAGTCAAAAATAAGTACCCTGTAAGCATCCTTAGTGTAGATTCAGTTATGTTCAATCATCCCTCTCTCTCTCTCTCAGGGAGAGGTCACATATGCTTTTAAGCTTTTCAATACAAAGCTGATTTTTGATTTTTATCCAAGCCAGGTGAGTGATGTGGCCCTGTGTCTCTTGTTAGATCATTTATCTACACATATATGTACAGTACAACTCGGTTTTAACAAACTGGACCTGTAAAAGTACTTTGCTATATAATTCGTTATATCCATATTTGTAATTTTGTAATATTTATATAGTTGGGGATTCAAGAAGACTTCTGTGAATTCACAATGTCCATGTTTGTACTAAAGTTTTACTGCAGTTACATGTATGTGGAAGCCAAATAGGAGTAAAAGATGTATTATTGTATGTCATCTTCATTATTTTGTTCAATCCATACAAATGTTTCTTTGAATATTGGAAACTAAAATCAGTAGAAAGTTAGAAATTAAAATTTATAAAATGCAGCATATCTAAACAGAATTTTTGTTGTTGAAAAAAAACCTTTTTCAGATGAGCAAGGCTGTAATAGTTATACTAATATTCAGAATCAAATACCGGTAACAGCTAACTACTTGAGGCAAGGATAGGGTGAGGGTTAAAGAAGGGGTTACATCACTTGAAAATTTAGAGAAGAATTGTAGAGCTGAGGTTTTTCTCAAGAACCACAGGGCCAATTTTTACCAAACTTGGCAGGGCTAAGACCCCTTACAAGGGGTGATAATCAGGAAAAGAGAAAAAATAGGGAGCCACTGGGTCAGAAAAGCTGAAACTTGTGTTAAAGCATCCAGGGATTAAGTGTAGATTCTAAATTGTTTAAATCCCTCCCCCTAAGAATAGACCTAAACCACAAAAGGTATTACAAGTAGGAAAATCTGGTGTAGAACAGCATGACCAGTTACTCTGGTTAGTGTTATGGACCATGGCCTTCTTGTATTCATGATCATGATCATAGAGAATACGAACCATAGCTACTCTCCTCCTTCAACAGCAACAAGAAAATATTGCTTTACGAAATGTCTATTTTCATTAACAAAGTTCAAATTTTGAATTATATTTTTTCCAGATTGATGAATGAACCACATGCATTATGTCAGAGGAATCTAGCTGGACTTGGAGCACCTTTTTAGCAGCCAGGACACATAGATGTACCTGTACAGTTGATACAGATAATCTCAACGGCACATTTCTAAATGATGGCCAAAAAAATCTAATAAAGACACTGTCAGTTTAAAACTTTTTGAAAGAAATCCAGATCAGAAACAAAGGATATTGATTTTTAAGCTCCAAATGTAAAAGGGGTTTTATTGAAACCAAGACCAGGATACACCCAAGGATATTTAATATTAGACCCCTTCAACATAAAATTTTGAATTTTAGTTTGCCTATTTAGTCAAGAACATGGGTTTTTTGACATTTGATACACTTTACATGTATAATGTTATATTGACATTTTTTCAAGATTTCTTTACTGTAAACTATTTATTTCAGCAAAAAGTACATTTACAGATGATTTTTCAAAAATAGCTTTAAAAATACAATTGAGATATATAGATAAATGGTTAATCACAGTTACCACAGAAACCAAATATTTGTTTTAAAGAAGTTAGGTACAAAAAATGTGTCTTTCAGTATTTTAGCTAATGGCAGTTTTCTTCATACAAGCTTATCACATTGACTAAATTGTATAGGCAAATACAATATTTTTGGAGATGCTGTCATGGTAACCAGATACAAATCACAAAAGCATATTTAAAAAAATATATTTTCATGCATTTACAATAAACTGTGAAAATATTACATGTATGTTAGTCAATAGTTATTTTGTATTTTATGGAGATTTTGTATAGTTAATTTATTTTAAAAAGCATTTCCAGGATAATTTGTTACCATGGTTACAAAAATTAATGAGAAATACACTGGTTTTATCTAATATTTGCAAGGTTTAGGAGAACATTTTCTATCTTATATTATCAATTTTTTGTGCTTGTGGTATTTTTTCCACAACATACTCTGAAAATGATGTATTTTGGTATTTTCTTGAAAAATGAATTTTTGTGATATTCTGTTGCCATGGTTACAGAATTTTTTTGAAAAACCAATGGGTTTTATTTTGTTTTATTAGAATTAGGATTGTGGTCTTTCTATCCCATGCTTTCAGTTTTCTTTAACATGTGGGATTTTTTCTAACTATGCTCTTAAAAATGGTTATTATTGTGAAAAATGAATTTTTGAGACATTTTGTTTCCATGGTAACAGAATATTATTTAAAAACCCATGGGTTTTGTTTAATTTTATTGAAATTAATAAAGTGCTCTTTCTATTCCACATGATCAGATTTCTTTAACATGTGGGGTTTTTATCTTACTATGCTCCTAAAAACCTTTATTATTGTGAAAAATGAATTTTTGTGACATTTGGTTGCCATGGTAACAGAATATTATTTAAAAACCCATGGGTTTTATCTAATTTTATTGAAATTAAGGAAGTGCTCTTTCTATTCCACATGATCAGATTTCTTTAACATGTGGGATTTTTTTTTACTATGCTCCTAAAAACGGTTATTATTTTTAAAAAATGAATTTTTGTGACATTTCGTTGCCATGGTAACAGAATATTTTTAAAAAACCCATGGGTTTTATTTAATTTTATTAAAATTAAGAATGTGCTCTTTCTATCCCATGTTATCAGATTTCTTTAACATGCGGGCCTTTTTCTTAATATTCTTCTAAAATATGTTGGATTTGAAGAAATATTGTGAAAAGTGAATTTTATGAAATGACCTATGTTAAATTGAAATTGAGCACCTTTAATAAATCCTATATAATTTTATCCTTATGGTAATCATTTATCATTTTGTATGTACTTCTCAGGAAAAAAAGATTTATTTATGGTACTATCATCAAAAAAGCTCTTTTCCTGTGTTCAATAATAGCTAAATTCACATTTTTTTGAATTATTTGCTTGGTTGCCATGTGCATTTACATGGTGCATTGTTTCCATGGCAACAAAGGCTGGCCAAAAAAATTATGTTGTCCAATGATGTTCCCTTGGTCCATGAAGCAACATATATAAATTTTGTAAAGATCTGAAATGGTCATGAATCACCCCCTGCCTGGTTCTTACAAATAGCTGTACTTAAAAATAAAAATCAGGGAATCGATTATTTCATTTTCATAAATCAATTTTGATTCTCTGCTTGACTATGATATGATTATTTTCTTAATTTAATTTAATATTAATTATCTAATTTATTAATTGTATTGTTTTTATATTAATTCTTTTCCTTCCAGGCTTTAATATTTCTTTTAATGATGAAAAAATAAGGGTTAAAACTTTCTTTTCTCTTTCTTGGTTAAAATAATCTTATTTTAGTTAACAAAACGAAAAAGAGACTCAGAATATCTCGGTAGTTTCTCCCTGTAGTAAAGATAAAAAGCGAGGGTTTCCGAATATACCTGATAAACGCAAAACATGTTACACGATAGAACCTGATAAACGATCTACACGATAAACGCAAAACACGATAAACGGAAAACACGATAGAAAACGCAAAACACGATAAACGGAAAACACTATACGATAGGATACACGCACGATACGATAGGATACACGCACGATAGGACACGATAGATTTGTAAAGAATAACGATGTAGGTACTGTATAATGTACCACAACTCTAGCCTAACCTGCTTATATATAGTTTGTTTCAATTGTAAGGACAAATGGCCAACCAGTGAAGAGCAAATGAGTTGTCCTGATGGAGAGCCAACAAGAAACAAACCGACATTTGCCAAAAAGTGGTGTTTATCTACTATTGAATGAATACGTTGGCCCAACAATGGCTCAATAATATCCGTTACATTGGCCCAATAATAAGCCAACGAGTTGGTCTGATGAAGGGCCGATGAGCAAATTGCCATTGGCCCAACATTAATGGCTTACAATGGCCCAACTGAACAAAAATGACGTTTGCCCAATATTGAGAGAATACATTGGTCCAACAATGGCCCAATATTGTCTGTTACATTGACCCAACAATAAGCCAACAAATTGGTCTGATTAATGGCCGATTAACAAATTACCGTTGGCCCAATGTTAAATGGTGGCCTAACATAAGTAGCATTGTTGGTCCAATAATGGTCAAGTAACATGCTGCTTTCTGGGATAATATGTATTATCAATTTATTTTTTTCATACAATTTATACAATACAACACATTTTAAGAATTTTTCAAAATTTGATTTTTGTGGGGGGAAAGGATATGCAATATACCGAATATAGTTCTTTCACTAGATCGTAGGCTTCACTCAAATGAAGTAAATGATGACAGATGAAGTTTTTAACCTTCATCATGCTCATATTCTGCTTCTGATTGTCACACCTATACAATAATTGACAGAGCTTTTTTATGATCGAGATGTTTTGATACCTGGCTGTGATTTATCTAGCTAATAAAATCTGCGAAACGATTTCATGTACTTTTTAAAGAGATTGATACATGTAATAAATCTTACCATAAAAATCAAAAAATAAGTAGGAAGAAGGATATGGTGATAACGAACAGTATTCAATCTCAAAGACCATAAAACAATACAAAATAAGAGCAGAGCAAACACGGACCCCCGAAACATCAGAGGTGGGATCAGGTGCCATGGAGGAGGTGAGTATCCCCTGCCGACCGGTCACCCGCCGTGTGCTCCTTGTCATGATCAGGAAATAACGGAAAAAATTCGTCTTCAATTCAGTGAATAAATAATGGACTAACAATTGGTATGAAAAACGTTGGTCAGCATTTGACTTAATGATAAATTGTATTTGCTGACAAGGTCACTGCATCGACCATAGAACTTACGAAATGATGACTTTAAACGAGACTGCTGAAATTCTTGTTTCACCCACTTGTCTGTTAATAATTTACCTCGTTTTAGAAATTGTTCATACGTAAAACATGCTTTTGCGTATCAAATCAACTGAGATATATATACTCCGTATGCAGATGATGAAGGTATATTTCTGCATAAGTAAGGGAAGTTGAAGTTGATAAATTTTTCATATTATTTGAAAGGATTTATTGACTTGTGTGCTCATTATTTCATAAATATTCTGCATTCTTTATTTTTCTGATTTAACATCATATATATTACTATCCGTCCTTTCCTTATTGATTCCAAATAAGGCAGTTCAAACCTTATCAGTGGCAAGAATGAAAATGAAATATTTCTCATTTTTCCCCGAGTAGCGTTGCATGTGGTTAGAGCGTCTGCTCTTGAATCACGAAGTAAAGAGTTGATAATTACGTCGCGGGTGCATCCCACTGTGGGACGAAGAGACCGTTCCTTCTGATGAGATCATATAAACTGAAGTCCCGTGTCACAGTAAGCGTTGGCAGGAAAAAGATCCCTCCCTGAGTTCGTAGTATAGGACAAAATTTATATGCTACATTATTCATGTCCATGGCTACACGTATATCTTACTAGTCGATTATTTATTCATGTTGACACTCTGTGGGCTTGAAAGATTTCTTACATTATTTCCGTGGTCCTTGCAATAAAAGGGAATCCATGCTGTTTTCGGATCCTGGAGTATTCTTTTCGTGGTCTACACAATAGAATACTGAATGTGTGACTACTATTGCAATAGCATGTACAATAGCAAGGCTGCTAAATGACTGATATTAAATATATTAAAGATTTTAATTGTCCCATTTATTTATGTTGTCTATGGAATAGATTGTATCTGTGTGGACTTGTTTTTTTTATGAATCCAAGGGATCACTTAATAAAAGAATATCTGGTCATATTTCAAATAAATCATGGTTGTCATGCAGCAGCTTTTATACAAACATTTTAATTTACCTGATCATTCTATTTTGTCTATTTTTTCTCAGAAAGATTTATCACCACACAAATAGTCCGTAGCTGAGTACACCTTTCAGTAGACAACGAGAAGAATTTTAGATTAGAAAACTAGGGAAAGCTTTTCCCTATTGATGTAATGACAATGTCGATAGTGTTAGAAATCTTTCCAGCCCACAGTGTAGCAATGTTAATGTGATGGGACTTTTTAACCATACACAGAGACGTAAGCGTAGTCATGGGCATCGGACGTGCGATAAACCTGCAGATCCATGTTAAACATTAAAGTCACGTATTAAAAGTTTGAGGGACAATATTGAAACCATCTATCCTTCTGTGTTCAATAATCCAGAAGTGAAAAAAGAATTAGATATATTACATGATCAGTACTTACTGGTCCCTGCTGACAAAGAAGGTAACAACATTGTCTTCGTTTGTAAGACTCATTATATAAATTGTATTTTAGAAGAACTTGAATTTAATTCTACAAGTGGTAATCCTACTTATACTCATACTTCCCTTT